AACCCGGGAGGCGAAGCTTGCAGTGAGCCGAGATCGCACCACTGCACTCCAATCTGGGCAACAGAGCGAGACTCCGTCTCAAAAAAAAAAAAAAAGAAAAATTAGCCAGGAACGGTGGTGTGTGCTTGTAGTTGCAGGTACTCAGGGGGCTGAGGCAGGAGGATCACTTGAGTCCAGGAAGTTGAGGCTGCAGTGAGTCAAGATCATGCCACTGAACTCCAGCCTGGGCAACAGAGACAGACCCTGTCTCCAAAAACAAAACAAAACAAAAAAAAGAGGCCAGGTGTGGTGGTTCATGCCTGTAATGCTAGCACTTTAGGAGGCCGAGGTGGGTGGATTGCCTGAGCTCAGGAGTTTGAGACCAGCTTGGGTAACATGGCAAAACCCCATCTCTACAAAAAAGTACAAAAAATTAGCTGGGCGCGCATGCCTGTGGTCCCAGCTCCTTGGGAGGCTGCGGCAGAAGAATCACCTGAACCCAGGGGGCAGAGGTTGCAGTGAGCTGAGATCACGCCACTGCACTCCAGCCTGGGCGACAGAGTGAGACTCTGTCCCAAAAACAAACAAAAAAATAAGAGCATCACTCATTTATGGAAAGCTGTGCTTTTGCGAAGGCTCATAAGGCTCAGCAGTAAGTCGAGTTGCCTTATGGTTTTCATAAACATCCATTTCACATGTTTCACAGACAAAGTCCTGGAGCTCAGTCGGTGCCTTTATGGTCTGTCCCTAGAACCAAAGCCTGCTATAACACGACCGAAGTGCAATCAAACTCCAGCAACTCTCCCCTGGGAGATTAGCAAGAACCCTCCATCTTCAGGGACAATGGAAAGGGGGAAAAAGGTCATAATCACCAGGCTCTGGGCCAGCAAGAACCGTAATGGGCCTGGACGGTCCTCGCAAGGCCGGCCAGCCATGGGCATACCTGGACACAGCACAGGGCCTCCAAGGCTGCCCTGGACTGCAGAACAGCAGGCCTGCACTGAGCTGTAGGGACTCACACAAGGGAAGGGAGGCAGGAGGAGCCGGCACTTCACACTGCACCATCCCAAGCACCACAGCATGGCTGCAAATTAACCTGGCCGCTCCCATAAGCCGCCATCAGTGTTCCACGGGTGGGGGAGGGGAGAGCACCACCTGTCTCTGCCACGCCATCCCCCCTCCACACCTGTCCCACCACCACGTGCATCAGATCAACACGGGCTTTAAGTTCATCTGTGTGCCGAGCCCCCAAGCACAGCTCAAGGACACAGCAGGAGGGGAGTACAGGACAGTGGCAAACTCTGGCCTCCAGCAAGGTGGGCTTCAGCTGCGTCTCCACCACAGGCAGGGGCCAGCCCAGACCCAGTTTCCCAGCTCAGATGCAGAGCAGCACCTATGGAGGTGCAGAGCTAGAGGCCAGCCAGGGAAAAGCACACATGACACGCTTCCATTTCAGCAGAGATTCAAGGGAACATATTGCTTTATGAAAAACTGACAAGTGAGCCACTGAGTAAAATCTTATACACGAACAAATTTTGTTTTTAGTTGTATTCATATATTTATGACTGACTGACTAAATAAGAGTCTCACTCTGTTGCCCAGGCTCAGTGCAGTGGTGCAATCACAGCTCACTGCGGCCTCGACCTCCCAGGCTCTAAGTTTTGGTTGTTTTTGATTGTCATAACCAGGTCAGGGGAGAAAGTGTTACTGGCACCTGCCGGGTAGAGGCAGGGGTGCTGCTAAACATGCTACCAGGAACAGGTCTCCACAATAGAGAGACCCGGACCACAGGTCAACCACTCCCGGCTGAGAAACCCTGCTGTCTTCATAGACTCCACCCCCACATCAGAAAGAAACCTACCAAGTCTTAGTGGCCTCCCTCCAAGCGCTCAGCACAGAGTGGGCCATGTGTGCAACACGGCCCTCAGCCTCACCTGGGACGGGGGAAGACAGAAACACAGGCACAGGGGCCGGGTGTGGTGGCTCAAGCCTGTAATCCCAGCACTTTGGGAGGCTGAGACGGGCAGATCACGAGGTCAAGAGATCGAGACCATCCTGGCTAACACGGTGAAACCCCGTCTCTACTAAAAAATACAAAAAACTAGCCAGGCGAGGTGGCGGGCGTCTGTAGTCCCAGCTACTCGGGAGGCTGAGGCAAGAGAACGGCATGAACCCGGGAGGCGGAGCTTGCAGTGAGCTGAGATCCGGCCACTGCACTCCAGCCTGGGCGACAGAGCGAGACTCCATCTCAGGAAAAAAAAAAAAAAAGAAAGAAACACAGGCACGGGCACAGGGAGCCTGGGAGACAGCAGGGAGGGCCCAGGCTGAAGAAGGTAGTTTAAAATCCTCATGCTATGTTTGGGCAACAGGAAGAATCTTATTTCCACAATACACACAGTGTGAAACGGCAGTGAGATTCCCCACAAGGGGACGTGACTTTAAATGGAGACAATTGTACTGGAGCGGGACCAAGAGCTCCATGGAACAATGAGTCCACGGCAGACAGGAGCTAAGGGGCCGAAGGGAACGGAGGGCGTTTGGGGAGGAAAGCAGCGCAGACTGGTCAGCGCACAGAAACTGAGAGGAGCCGGGGACACACCCCTACGGGGTGACAGTGCCACTTCCTCAGCAGCAGAGGGTGAGACCCCTACTGCGAGACGATGCCACAAATCCCGACATCTGGGCAGAAGCGCATCTTCCGGGTGAGAGGCGCCCACGATCCATCCTTCTCGCAGACAGCGGCGGGCACTCCGGCGGCAAGCGCCGCCTCCCTCTGGTAGTTTCTTTTGGACTCTGGGATCAGCTGTCACAGCACAGGTTTTGGCTAAAACTCCGCTTGACAATGCTGTTTCCAAATGTCAGCCTTTGACATTTCACTTGCTGTGGGATTACACCCAGTAATTTCTCTGATTTAAGATTTTTTTTTTTTTACTAAGTAAACTCTCAGCACAGAAGTGGGATGAAAAACACATCTAGCAAGCCCAGGTCTGACTGCCACGAAGAACGCCTTGTTTCTTCCGCGGCACAGCACGCCACAGCAGAGCGAGAGCCCTTCCAGCCAGGAAAGCGCTGGGAACAAGACCAGCTGGGGGCATCTGACCTACAGCCTGCTCCCTGCAGGGCTAGGAGGTAGTATCATCTTTCAGCGAAAGAGCCACACCCCCACGCACCCCACCCCAGCAGGTAAAGGAGCTTGAAGCTCCACCTCCCGCACTGTGGGTATATTCTTAGCACTCTACCCGTGGGGCATCTGTGATTGAGACAGTAGTTAGAAAACCATTGTGTTCTATCTACTTCCCAGAGCCTGTTACATGAGAAAGGTTTAAGCCAGGTTTTTTCCTATCTGTAAGCATTCATGCACCTAATGTTAATTTTTTTTTTTCTTTTTTTTAGACAGTCTCGCTCTGTTGCCCAGGCTAGAGTGCAGTGGTGCAGTCTTGGCTCACTGCAACTTCCGCTTCCCAGGGTTTAAGTGACCGTCCTGCCTCAGCCTCCCCAGTAGCCGGGACTACGGGCAGCCACCAACACACCGAGTTAATTTTCATATTTTTAGTAGACATAGGGTTTCACCATGTTGGCCAGGCTGGTCTCGAACCTGACCTCAAGTGATCTACGTGCTGCGGCCTCCCAAAGTGCTGGGATTACAGGCGTGAGCTACTGGGCCCATCCCTAAATCTTATTTTTAAAAGATGACTGGCAACGTCACCCAGCCCAAAAGACTCCAAAAGACTCAAAGGTGTGAATAAGCTTCTCCCCTCCAGGAGTACCCGCCACCTGAGGACACATAAACATAAACACTTCCTCGTCTTACTTTGCTGTGTACACCTATCTGAAACCATCAGCACACAGTATGCTGGTGCACAATGACCTGGAGCTGAGCCCTGTCCTGCTTTTGATTTGGTGGATATGAGGTAGGAGGCTCACCCAGAGTCAGAGGATGGAGGGTGTGTGCTCCTGAGATGCAGGGATGGGGGAGATGTGGGGTACCGGGCCAAGCTGAAGGAGCAGGGAAAAGATGCCAAGTTTACAACCACCAGATGGGCAGCACCTCCACCTGAATTCCCAGGACGCCACTGCCTTCACTTCAGGACTCTCTCCAGCCCCTGCATCCGCCCCCACCAGGCAGGCACATCTGTGTTGTTCGCACAGCTCACAGCCTATCTGGCAACCCCAAGTCCACAGTCCCGGAAGCACTATGGGGAGACGTGAGGCCTCCATCCTGCTCAGCTGCACACAGCGCACGACATGGAGTGACATCTGCAGCACACCACTCTCTCCAAAGCCATAAGGACATACTCAGTCTAGCCAGGCGCAGTAGATCACACCTGTAATCCCAGCACTTTGGGAGGCCGGGGGGATCACTTAAGCCCAGGAGTTCAAGACCAAACTGGGCAACACAGTGAGACCCGTCTCTACAAAAATTAGCCAGGTGTGGTGTGTGCACCTGTAGTCCCAGCAACTTGGGAGGCTGAGGTATGGAGACTGCTTGAATCCAGGAGATCAAGGTTGCAGTGAGCTGAGATTGCACCACTGCACCCCAGCCTAGGTGACAGAGTGAGACATAATCTCAAAAAATAAAAGTTAAAAACAGGGTGGGTGTGGTGGCTCACACCTGTAATCCCAGCACTCTGGGAGGCTGAGACGGGCAGACCACCTGAGGTCAGGAGTTTGAGATCAGCCTGGCCAATATGGTGAAACCCCATCGCTACTAAAAATACAGAAAAAAAATTAGCCAGGCGTGGTGGCACATGCCCGTAGTCCCAGCTACTGGGGAGGCTGAGGCAGGAGAATCGCTTGAACCTGGGAAGTAGAAGTTGCAGTAAGCCAAGATCATGAACTCCAGCCTAGACCTCAGAGTAAAACTCTGTCTTAAAAAAAAAAAAAAAGGCCAGGTGTGGTGGCTCACGCCTGTAATCCCATAATCCCACCACTTTGGGAGGCAGAGGCGGGCAGATCACCTCAGGTCAGGAGTTCGAGACCAGCCTGACCACATGGAGAAACCCCATCTCTACTAAAAATACAAAAAAACTAGCTGTGCGTGTTGGCGCATGCCTGTAATCCCAGCTAGTCAGGAGGCTGAGGCAGGAGAACTGCTTGAACCTGCAAGGCAGAGGTTGCAGTGAGCCGAGATCGCGCCATTGCTCTCCAGCCTGGGCAACAACAGTGAAACTTCATGTCAAAAAAAAAAGAAAAAAAAAAAAAGACAAGCCAGGTTGGGTGGATCACTTGAGCCCAGGAGTTTGAGACCAGCCTGGGCAAACACAGCAAAACCCCGTCTCCACTAAAAACACAAAAATTAGCCAGGCACGGTGGCATGTGCCTGTGGTCCCAGGTAATCGGGAGGCTGAGATGGGAGGATTACCTGAGCCTGGGGAGGTCAAGGCTGCAGTGAGCCAAGATCACTTCACTGCACTCCAGCCTGGACGACAGAGGGAGACCCTGCCTCAAAAATAAAAAAGAGTAAGTAAATAAATAAAAAGAAAAATTCACTATTTTGCTTATCAAAGTCTCTCAAAGGAGGTGACTTAACTACACTATTCGCCCAATTACACAGCCAACAAGAGGACATGGTCCCCGCCCACAGAAAGCTAATGTCCAGACTGACCTCACTACAGAACCATCCAGATAAAGTGGTGGGGGTGGCTATGCAGAGATGGGCGGGTACTGGGAGAGTCTAGGGCAGCCCCTTGGCTGGCCAGGGGCTTGGGTCGACCAGCTGGGGAGCTGCATCACTGGCCCAGGAAAAGCGATGATGGCTTACATGGCACTGCAAGAGCAGGGAGGGTCACACTCACATCCAGACAGTGAAACGTCGTAACAGCTAAACACGTACCACACAGTTTTCATTCAAAAATTTTATATATATAAAATGTTTACGAAATAGAGATGGGGTTTTGCTATGTTGTCCCGGCTGGTTTCAAACTCCTGAGCTCAAGCGATCTGCCTGCCTCAGCCTCCCAAAGTGATACAATTACAGGCTTGAGCCACCATGCCTGGCCACTTTTTTTCTTTTTTGAGACGGGGTTTCACTGTGTCTCCCAGGCTGGAGTTCAGTGGCACAATCACAGCTCATTGCAGTCTCAACCTCCTGGGCTCAAGTGATCCTCCCACCTCAGCCTCCCGAGTAGCGGGACCACAGGTGTGCACCACTGTGCCCAGCTAATTTTTGTAGAGTTGGGGCCTAACCATGTTGCCCAGGCTGGTCTCAAACTCCAGGGCTCAAGTGATCCACCCTCCTTGGCCTCCCAAAGTGCTGGGATTACAGACCTGAGCCACCACACCAGGCTGCCCCACACATTTTAAAGTTTCGCCTCCCCCTAATGTCAGATTCCAAAGACAGCAGCCTTCATGAGTCAGAAAGAAGCATCGGTCATTTTGAAATCAACATCCAAGTAAGTGTAGAAAGGCCTCTGGATTTTTGAAACGGCAATAACAGATGATGTAATACAGACAAAGACACCCCCACCCCACTGCTTTCCCACTGCATGCTTTACATGCCACGGCACGCTTCCATGCCAGCAGCTTCAATGACGTAAAGCGAATGCAGTCCCATCAAGACCACAGCATTGGCTGAGCAGCTGCTCCATGCTGGGCACTGTCCTGGACACTGGAAGTACAGCAAAGAACGAAACCAAGACCATGCCCTCGAGAAGCCTGCATTCCAGCAGGACAGACAGACTTCAAAATACAGAGCAGGGAAATGCACAACGTGTCAGATGGTGACGATTACTGTGAGAAAAATAAAGCAGGCAAAGAGAACAGGACTATTTGGATGGAGGCGGTGCAAATTCAAATCATCAGACAGCCTTCGCTGGCAAGGTGATATCTTGATATCTGAGCAAAGATTCGAGAAGGTGGGGAGAGCACCGGAGCCTTCCCGGCAGAGCAAAGGAGGCACGTGCAACTCTGGAATCACAGCTGTTCAGCATGGCCACGACACGGCCACTTGCAGACAGAGCCCCTGGCTGCTGGGTAGGGACCCCAGCACCTCAGAGTACCCTTTCTGGGGTCACTTCTGGCACCCTCTGCAAACCTCAAGGGGGAAGTGTGAGGCCTGGGGCCGTCCATCGGGGTCCAGGCACCTCCCGAAGGAGCCTCGAAGCCAGCCAATCACTGGCTCCAGACGCATGCTGTCAGGTATCTCTGTGGCCACCAGACCACCGCCACTCTCACGGGTGTGATGACATGGGACCTGTCTACTGGTAGTCTTCTGCCTTCGTGGAATTCTGTAACTTCCTTCCTGCCTCGGCCACAGCACGGCAGCCAAGCACCTGTCAGGGTCCCTCCCTGGCAGGATGATGTTTAGAAGCTCAACACAGTGCCTCTGCCTCCTCTTCAGGGCCATCAGAACTTGCTACCATGGGTGTGTTTTAATAAATAACATGATTTCTGCAGCCAAAAAAAGATGGTTGAATATTACCTTTTAAAGCACTTTTTAGCACCAATTGTGAAATAAAAAGCCTGAGAAAAAGCCCTCTTTGAGTGCGAAGTGTCTAAATGTTTATTTGTACTACTATTGTTGTAAAGGGAAGGTTTTGCAGCATTTTCAGGTAGTGATTAAACTGCATAAACAGCATCCCGAGACCGCCTGCCACAATCTGGAGGAAACGCAGTGCCAGGGCCCACGTGCAAGGTAGGGTCCTGCCAGGCTCCCGAAATGCCCCCTTTCCCAGCACTAAGTCCCACAGAGGCAGCACAACCTCAGGGATGCCAGCAACTCTGGGCCTGGGGGTGAGTCCTTCAGTCCCTGCACAGCTCAATCAATCTGCCACCCATTTGGTGACCTAAAATTGTAGTAAGTAAACAATTTTGGTTACTCAGTAGTTTCTGAAATTTAAATCTCTGGAACAATTTAAAGCAATAAGACCCCAGGTGGACCTGTCTACTCTCCTTGTCCTCCCTAATAAAATGGGCTAGGCGTGGTGGCTCGTATCTGTAGTCCCCCATTTTGGGAGGCCAAGGCAGGAGTACTGCTTGAGCCCAGGTGTTGGGAGACCAGCCTGGGTAACATGGCGAGACCCCACCTCTTAAAAAAAAATTAAAAAAACAAAATCTGCGGCCGGGCGTGGTGGCTCAAGCCTGTAATCCCAGCACTTTGGGAGGCTGAGGCAGGCGGATCACGAGGTCAGGAGATCGAGACCATCCTGGCTAACACGGTGAAACCCCGTCTCTACCAAAAAATACAAAAAACTAGCCGGGCGAGGTGCCGGGCGCCTGTAGTCCCAGCTACTCGGGAGGCTGAGGCAGGAGAATGGCGTAAACCTGGGAGGCGGAGCTTGCAGTGAGCTGAGATCTGGCCACTGCACTCCAGCCTGGGCGACAGAGCGAGACTCCGTTTCAAAAAAAAAAAAAAACCTGCTGGCTGTGGTGGTACACACCTGTAATCCCAGCTACTAGGGAGGCTGAAGTGGGAGAATTACTTGAGCCCAGGAGGCTGAGGCTGCAGTGAGCCATGGTCAAACCACTGAGCTCCAGCAAGGGTGACAGAATAAAACCTTGTCTCTTTTTAAAAAAAAAATTAAAATTAAAAAAATAATGAGCCAGGCACGGTGTTGTGCACCTGTGGTCCCACCTACAGCTGAGGTGGGAGGATCACTTGGGCCAGGAGTTCAAGGTTGCAATGAGCTATCATCGAGACCCTGTACCCCAGTCTGGGCAACAGAGTAAGGCACGCTCTCTCAATCTTTTTTTTTTTTTTTTTTTTTTTTAAAGGAGCTCAGCCAGGTGTGGTGGCTCACACCTGTAATCCCATCACTTTGGGAGGCCAAGTCGGGCAGATCATGAGGTCAGGAGATGGAGACCATCCAGCCTAACACGGTGAAACCCCGTCCCCATTAAAAATACAAAAAATTAGCTGGGTGTGGTGGCAGGCACCTGTAGTCTCAGCTACTTGGGAGGCTGAGGCAAGAGAATGGCATGAACCCGGGAGGCGGAGCTTGCAGTGAGCCGAGATCGCACCACTGCACTCCAGCCTGGGCGACAGAGCCAGACTCCGTCTCAAAAAAAAAAAGGAACTCCTCACAACAGAAGTCCACCAAAAACACCAGTGCCCACCTCACAGCTGTGGTGTCACCATGCAAGCCCCCCACTCCCAGGTTACGATCTGATCGCTGGGCTTTCCTACACACACACAGGTGCACGCACCCACACCCAAGGGAAGGCGGGGAGCTGTGGTCTGCCTCACCAGCAGCCTCACTCTCTGGGGCTTCTCATGGCCAAGGCCTGCCCAGGTCAGTGCGGCTTCTTTCCCACCAGGAGCCTCCTGCCAACCATGTCTTTCCACACCCCGTTCTCAGTCCTGGCAACCAATCAATATCCCCACTCAGGACAGAACCCCCTCTGTCCTCTTCTACCTTCTACTCCACTGATGAGACAAGCTTCTGTTACTTCATCAGTGCTGAGAAATGTGAGAGACGTGTCATGGCACAGGTCTACTGAGAACAGGGAAAGGCCAATGTTCTAAACAGAATGTGGCTGGGAGAATAAGCACCAACAACAGGTTAGGTCCTTAAAGCTACCAGGTGCCATCCCCCAAGTCTCTGGAAGAGGAGCTCTCACATCCCCCCAGGGCACTCAATGATGAGTCACTGCCCCCTACTTATTTCCCCAGGCAGATGGGACCACCAGGTGCTGGTCCTGTTGCTCTTTTCCAGAGCAGGCACTCAGGTTTCAGCGAGACCCCACCCCTGCCCCCAGGCACACCTCTGATAGAAAAACAAACCCTGAGTTGTAAACAAATAGAAACTTGTAAAAATGTAGCCGATGGGTAAACCAGGCATTTTCTGAGGATTTTGTTTCATAAAATGTGTATTTTCTGAAAGAACTTAGAGTTTCAATTTCTTTAACTTTTCTAGGTATGAAGTTCAGCAGCCTCCATCTCTTAGAAGTAGAAACCAGGCAGGACGCAGTGGCTCAAGCCTGTAATCCCAGCACTTCGGAGGCCGAAGTGGGAGGATGGCTTGAGTCCAGGAGTTCAAGACCAGTCTGGGCAATATAGTGAAACCCCATCTCTACAAAGACAATTTAAAAATTAGCCAGGCGTAGTGGCATGTGCCTGTAGTCCTAGCTACCAGGGAGGTTGAGGCATGAGAATCACTTGAGGCCAGGAGTTTAAGACTAGCCTGGGCAACACAGTGAGATCCCATCTCTTTTTAAGAACGCTATCTTTTTTTAAAGAAAAAAAAGAGCCGGGCGCGGTGGCTCAAGCCTGTAATCCCAGCACTTTGGGAGGCCGAGGTGGGCGGATCACAAGGTCAGGAGATCGAGACCACAGTGAAACCCCGTCTCTACTAAAAATACAAAAAATTGGCCGGGCGTGGTGGCGGGCGCCTGTAGTCCCAGCTACTCAGGAGGCTGAGGCAGGAGAATGGCGGGAACCCGGGAGGCGGAGCTTGCAGTGAGCCGAGATCGCGCCACTGCACTCCAGCCTGGGCAACAGCGTGAGACTCCGTCTCAAAAAAAAAAAAAAAGAAAAAAAAGAAAAAAAAAAAGGTAGATATTCTCTTGGCCGGGCACAGTGGCTCACACCTGTAATCCCAGCACTTTGGGAGGCCAAGGCAGGCGCATCACCTGAGATAAGGAGTTTGAGATCAGCCTGGCCAATATGGTGAAACCCGGTCTCTACTAAAAATACAAACATTAGTTGGGCGTGGTGGCGCACACCTATAATCCCAGCTACTAGGGAGGCTGAGGCAGGAGAATCACTTGAACCTAGGAGGCAGAAGTTGCAGTGGGCAGAGATCTCGCCACTGCACTCCAGTCTGGGCGACAAAAGTGAAACTCCATGTCAAAAAAAGAAAAGGGAAATGAGGGTGCCTCCTATGGTCAAGAGGCTGTCCCGCAGATGAACAGTGCAGCCAGCAAGAGAAAGGATCTCGAACAAAAAGCTAAGCTACCTTTGAATGGCAGTGTGTGCTCTGGAGCCTGGGAATGCAGTGGACACGCACAGCCAGCACACGCACACTCTCACACACGGCAAGCAGGAACTGCTCTCTCCAGGCCCCCGGACCAAAGTTGTGGGAGGCTGCTACAGTCCAACCAGCTCATCTCCAAAGGGATACTGCCCTCAGGTCAGCTGTGCTCACTGGCAAAGAACATTCTGGTAAAAACCTCCTCTCACCCCAGGAAACTCCACAAAGCTAGGCCCAGTACAGAAAACCAGGCGGAGGCAGGGGGTGTTAGGGAGGGAACGCCACTACCTTCCTCCACCCCCCAGGCTGCCACTACCAAGGACAACTGTGGTGAAGCAGCAAAACCAATGGCCCCGTTGGGTTCCAGGCTTACAGCTTACCTGTGGATGAGCCACCCCTCTCTGACCCATCAAGACTCTTTTATAAAATGAGGCTAATGACATGGGCCCACCCGCAAGGGCTGCGGGTCCCACACCAGACAGGAGTGTGAAGCACTCTGTGGAGTCCGGCAGGCAGCTCACAGGGCAGGCCCTGTGGCGGACGGGATTACTGGTGTGCTCGTACCAGCAACCCATGTCCGAAGGCTCTGCCCACACTGGTCCGTGACCACAGGCAGACGGGGAGCTGGCCCACAGCAGGCAAGTGGTCGCCAATGCTCTCTCGCGGTGCAACTCAGCAAAACGCAGCTCACCCCAACCAGCACGGAAGCCCCGGCAACAGGTGAGGGCCGGAGGAAAGCTGTTTCTACTTCTCCACCAGGGGAGGGAGGAGCAGTGGGTGGGTGAGCTCCAAGGGCAGCTACTCAATCTCTCCTCCCACAGCCATCTCCACTGGCCTCCCAAGGAGCCTCTCACCTACCCAGAGCAGACAGAAGGCAACGAGGTGGGGACTGCCAACTGTCTGAAGTCTAGTCCTCAGGCTCAACTGGGCTGCCAGCCTCAGGAAGCGCCAGGTCTCAATTTCACTAACCCACATCTTCAACATTGTCTTTGTATATTTGTCACACAAACATATGATGAAAACACCAAAGTACAAGGTTTCTCTGCAAGGAAGTTTTGTTCACTTCCCGCACTTTGGAACTTCCTACAGGTATACTTTAAACACCACTGATCAACATGAAAACCAGGATGCAGGCCGGGCGCGGTGGCTCACGCCTGTAATCACAACACTTTGGGAGGCCGAGGCAGGCGGATCACAAGGTCAGGAGATCGAGACCATCCTGGGTGACACAGTGAAACCCCGTCTCTACTAAAAATACAAAAAACTAGCCGGGCGTGGTGGCGGCACCTGTAGTCCCAGCTACTCGGGAGGCTGAGGCAGGAGAATGGCGTCAACCTGGGAGGCGGAGCTTGCAGTGAGCCAAGATGGCGCCACTACACTCCAGCCTGGGCGACACAGAGAGACTCAGTTTCAAAAACTAATAATAATAACTTTGTTAGGAGGCTATTTGATAGCTTCAAGTAAATTTACAGGATCTGAAAACATCCTGTGTCATTCAAAACCTGACTCTGACACGATGCTCAACATTAATTTAAAAAATATAGGGCTACTGAAGGGAAGTAATATACTTGAA